TGATGTGTCTAATTTGGTCATCACTATGCATAACCTTTATTACAATTCTACGGCCGATATTCTTGAGATATTAGACTTTATACTTGTGTAGCGGATCATTTGTGAGAATTGTTGTAATACCTGAATAATAAGGTTTTTGTGGATTATTGAACTATTGTTGCCTTGGAAAGTTGTGATTAGCATTCATTTGGAATATTTGTTTAAATACTCTCCTTGACGTTATTATGCTTCCTTCCTTGTTTGTCATTAATATACATTATCATGTGAGGAAACACGAAGGGTGATGTCGTGCCATATTATTGGGAGTAAAAGCACGAAGGGTGATGTCGTGCCATATTATTGGGAGTAAAAGCACGAAGGGTGATGTCATGCCATATTATTGAGAGTAAAAGCACGAAGGGTGATGTTGTGTCATATCATTTGTGAGTAAAAGCACGAAGGGTTATGTCGTACCATTACATTTATATTATCATGATTTTGTGTTATTGTGAGTTCATGGCACGAAGGGTGTTTTAGTGCAAGTGAGGATGAGGGACATGCATTATATTGTGATATCATTTTCTTGCAGATATCTTCATGTCTTACCTTGATTTGTTACTGTCGTACTTATGGTTCTTGTGTGACTTGTCATCACTGTTCTGTCTTTATTCTCTATCTCAATTGTTATTGTGTTGCCCATGCCTTCTACTTGCTTAGATTGTAAATATCATGCCTATTTTCTGTTGTTATGATTGCAACCATGTCATATTTGTTTTGTTGCACTTAGGTCCAGGTTTTCTTCCATGTTAGTCATTCATGTCTCTACTTGTTAAATTATAAAGATCATGTACCCCTATCTTATTTGTTATATCTATCTTCATGCCCCCACCATGCTAGTTAGTTGAAGTTATAATCCTTTTTCCTCATTATTGGCATTACCTCTATGCTTTCCTCTTAGTCTGTGACTGACGTCCTTATGTACACTCTCGTTCATTATTACTACTTGCGTATTTCCTTCCTTGTCATTTTCGTTATCGGTATTTCTGCCATTTGGTTGGTACTGTTTTACGCATATATATTGAGGATGAGATAAATGCACGAAGGGTGTTGCCGTGTTGTTGGATCTGATGTCTTAAGTATTTCTCTCATACTATGAAAGTTTTGAGGTGATTATTGTGGTTCATGGATTTTCGTTCTAAGTAAAGATTGGTCGAGATATTGGAAACTGATGATTTGTGATATCTTTTAATACTCGGTATTGCTTTGTACATTCATCTATGTGCTCTATTCCATTACACTGCAGTATAGTTCAATTGTTAGTTTACTTTACAGTGTCTATCAATAAGCATCTTTTAACTAAAAAGCTTCGTCACTACTTCGACGAGGTTAGACAAGATACTTATCAGTACATGGGGTTGGTTGTACTTATACTATACTTCTGCACATTGCGTGAAGATTTTTGGAGTGGAGCTGCTGGTGATGTCGGGAGCTGACCCTGAAGATGTTCGTGTATTCCAGATAAAAACGGCCATTTGTCCTTGGTAGTTTTAGACTTTGATAATCTGTTTATGTAGTTTTCAAACAGATCGTGTAATTATTTGTATCAGTTTTGTAAATCCTAAGTCTTAGAAGCTCATGATTCGTACTACTAGTTCCTGGGTTAATATGTAAAAGTTCAGCTATTCCTTCTCTATTTTCCTATAATTTCATTTGACTTGTATTGTTGGTTAGTTGGCTTACCTAACGGGTCGAGTTAGGTGTCATCACGACTTGTGTTTTTTTGGGTCGTGATAGTTTGCTACCTCATCCATGAAATTTCCTTTCAATCTTGCATCTAATGTTGCTAATCACGCTTAAAAATATGGAAGGAAATCTTTGCATGTGATTCTTGGAGAGAAAGAACCTTATTTATTTGGGTTCTCAATTTTTATATGTGTTAAGCTAATTTTGGTAAGTCTATGATTAATAGCTAGAGATTGGTAAGTTAGGATTTATTTTAGACATTTTTGTAAAATTCCCTTTAATATATGGGTGAGTCAATAATCGGCACAACCTTGGATATATGGGTAAGTTAGGACTTATTTGAAATATTTCTGTAAAATTCCCTTTAATATATGGGTGAGTCAATAACCGGCCCAATTTTGGATGGATTGGGCCGGTTATTTAGGCTTGTGCCAAATTTGACAGCCCTAGAGGCACCAAAGGAATGATCAACAAACTTGATATTTAGCTTGATTAATTTACTAACTAGCTTTTTTTTCTTCCCGGAAGTGTAAAATGCATCCTACACACTCATTATATATATGTGTTTAAAAATTATTGGCCTTTCCAAATATTCTTTAGTCAGAAATTCGTGTTCAGAGGCTATTATATTCTTTAGTCAAATATTCTCCAACACTACCAATAGACAAATCGTGGCAGATAGGTCAGATTATACAAAACTCAGCAATGAGAGCACTTTCTGCTAAACTACTGCAATTTCAATTACTCATGTCCCCTTTGTCAAACACCATTTCTGCAGCAATAAAAGGCTATAAGCTAAAATACAGACAGTGGTGGAATTAATTACTATAAAAGATTCTTTCTCCAAACAGAAAAAGGTGACAAAATGAGTGGTTATTCCTGTGCCGAAAGTAAGGGGGGAAATGGTTTTCTAATGTGGAAAAATGACAATTATACTAGTATTTTGGATTTAGACAACATTATGTTTCAACTTGAGAAGCATTCAACAATTATCAAGTAGGGCTTTGTTCCTCGTTTCTGGCCACAATTGTCATAAACAATCAAGAAGACTAGCTCAGTAATAGCTCCCATACAAAGTCAATATATGTTGAAAAATACACCAATGTGCATTATCACAAACTGAATATACTACGAAAGAATTAAGAAATTTTGAATCAAATTAATTAGAGCAAGGTGGATCAAAAAATTTCAGTGAGTGGTTTTCCTGGATCATTACGTGCACCACTACTTTTAATTTGTAGTAATGCATGTGAATTTAGTAATTAGTAAATGCAATAATGTTATGCCAAAAAATAACATATATATAATATAATTTATCATACATGACAAAGAAGAAAGATGTGGACAAAGATTTAGGAGGTTAGATAGATATGTCTATATTATCGAACAAGATAGAGAGAGAAATCACTCTAAGTCTATAATGATAAATAGCCAATACAATCCCTAGTAAATTTTAAAATTTCTGTCACAGGCTACTAGGAATGGATGTTTTCTATTCGAAGAAAGGCAAAACTCTGCTCGAACTTATGAAAGGTAAGTATACTATGTTGTACAACTTAGGTCCTATTGCAACCCATCTTTTCTCGTCTTCTTAACCAAATAAGAATATAATAAATTAAATATATATCGAAAGAATATAACACATGCATTTATGATGATATTCGACCTAAGTTTCACATTTCGACTATTCTACTAGATTATCTCCAATCAATATATGTATTATGTAACTATACATATGAAACTTATATACTATAAGAACTTGATACCGTTTTTAGATACATGTATAATCGGATTGTATATGGGTAAAACCGAGGCTAATGAGCACCCCGATTTCTCGGTGGGGAAAACGAAGCAAGAGCATAACTATATGGAATCGGAATCGAAGCTAGGAACCTCTCATGCTGAGGCCCGAACGAAGCGCCTACCACTGGAGCCATCGAGACCACCCCACCCCCACCCCC